TCCTTATGCGATTTCGGAAGTCTGTTGAGCCCACTGTTACCCGATGATCGCTACCCATCAATAGTCCCACTGTGCCCCATTCAACTGCTGCGATGTTCCGTAATTAGAATGAGCCACGCCTGAAATGACCCTTCTGCCTTGCAAATTGCACTGGTGTGTACAAAGATTGGCGATCCAATTTCGAACTCAAAATTTTGATGATGTGCCGTTAGTCCACCTCCTGTTGGGAATTAAATGATCGAGTGGTAAAATAGCCCTGAACAGTGCTGGACACCGCCCTATATCCTATTATGATGAAACCCCGGATGATATGCAGAAACCGTTAGTGGGATTAATAAAAGTAGACGAGGATGGGACCTGTTTCGCAGGATGGGGGAAGAAATTCAATCTATATGGTCAGTATACAGAGTGAACAACAAGCAAAGTAGGAAAAACAGTTCATTATATCTAATTCTTGATCATTCAACACCATGTCCGAGGTAGACGACACCGCGTCTGGCGGCATCACTTATCACTATGAAGCTGCGAGGGGTATAACAACATGCGTAACAGCACTCGTTAGTCCATCAATTCTGTCAAATGCGCTTCCTGCTTCCTCTCTACATTCGAACAGTCGCAATCCCATCGATTATTCCGACATCGTTTGCTATCAACCTGGTTTGTGCCTTTTGCCTGGGAGGTTGCCGATGAAGCTTGCGTCAACTTCTTGAGCCTGTGGATGAGGATTTGGATAAATGGTGGAGACCGAGTAGTTAAAATACGTCAAATGAAACAGCTGTTTACCAACCTAAAGGTACCACTTTGGCCGAATAATCCTTACACCTCGATATCAATACCGAATAAAATGCTTGTTGCTGAGATCTAAAAACGTATCCCAAACTCTTTTACGAACAGGTTCGAAAATCTCACTGAAATTCACTTCGGCGAAGGAGACGATATCTTCCATGTCATTCATAAAACTTATAAACTAGAGGTACCAAAACGGGATGAATGGACCGTTGTTCCATTTTCCCGCAAGAATAGGATTCATTCTTAAGGGAATTGCATCGAGATTAGTAATTACTCATTCTTCCACGCCCGCTATCGATTTACTATCTCAAATACGAAGAAGTAGTTCTGCAGTACTTCAGATTGCGAAGAGGATTCATTGTGAACACTATATATCACCATATGTAAGAATAGCAATGAAAAAATTGAAGGACAACCGGTTTCAGCCGATTAAGCCCGTTTTGTTGATTACTCCCGCCGTTCATTATTCTAAATACGAGACTTTTTACTGAACTTGTAGATCTCATTATCTCTTCTTCTCTTTGCAGATAATTTCGCTTTGTTTAGAGCCATTCTCTCCGGTGCTCTCTATCCAAATGTGATTCGATTGGGTGAACGTGATCGGTGAGTTTTGTGCACGGGACTGTAAGAGGGTTGTGTTTCATCCAGATGACGTGCATTATTTACATGCCTGCACTTTTATTTCACGCCATCAGATCCAACTTCAGAATTATTCTTTGTTCAATGCTATTTCAAAACATTCATTGGTTTATCCCTCCGAGCTCATCCAAAAGTTCACTAACTTTGTCCAGTTGGCTCATAAATATACTCCACAGATTTATGTTGGATCGCCTTACAAAATAGACAACCGTTACCCAAAACGTCCGCCTGTTTGTAGTTCTCGATATATGTACTGTTTCACTGGGCTATCGATTCTTCCCTTTTGGTGGTATTTTTCATTACCGTAGAGCTGCAGATCTGCAATGTATGCAGACCTAGTGGGGTTCAGCATTACAGGTCAACGAAGTTAGTTTTGCTCGTTTCTATTTTTCTACTGTCTCCGCTGTTCCTCACACTGTGATGTTTAATGAGGAAACGAGTTAAAACTCATGTGTGAGGCCCAGTGCACAGTCGCTTAACTGTAGTATTTTGTTAAAACAAATACATCCGAATGCTAGCTGATTTTACGATGCAAGAGACGTATCAAATGCGTGATCCACGAGCCGCCTGTTGCTCTTC